CACAGATTAAGAGGACCAGATGTCCGACTTCAGTCAAAAAAGCGTAAGGGCTTCGTCACTGCGCATGCCGTACTGCGCATAGCTTAGCAAGTGACTAGAGGCAGTCACCCCCCCGACATTAAATTTCAAAATGGCGACAACAATTTTATTTTGAGGCAACAAACATGAAAATAAACTCTTTTTATTTGCCCGAGAGAGGGATTGTGTGGTTAAATTTGTGTTTAAAACTTTCAACGTCAGTACGCGTATTGGAAAAGTGAGTTCATCACACTTAGTTTGCAATATTTTACGAATTTTTCTCTTTTTCGATCGTCGTAGGAGTGAAAAACTATAGGCGAAATGAAAATGCCACTTTGCTGAGGTATTTGAAGTCATTTTTTACAATGTACGATGTGTTTTCTTGCACTTTCTACGATGTCTGATATTCATTGACATCTGTGTGCATAATTTATAGTTTACTTTGCATAGATATTAACTAGAAGTTAGATAAGTAAATTCATATATTAATAGACAACTAGATATAAAGTTTGTCGACTAGAAAATGTTTACAAATTTTACATTGTATGTATGAATGTATACATAGTATTTGTAAATATTAAGTTAATTCATCTATTACGTATTTTCTCTAATAAAAATCTTGTAACAGGAAATGTGAGTTTCAGAAAATGTGTGTCTCAGACAAAATTATTCTAGAATATTTATTAAATATCTCACCTACAAACAACAATTTCCCATGAATAGTGATCCAATCACATTTTGTCCTGATACATGAAAGCGAGGTGCCCAGGCTAAACCGGCATACATGACATAATTATTGAAAAAGCCTAATTTGTTGTATAAATCTGTGTAACTACTCACTTGGTAATGACTTTAACCTGCAACAAGTGTTATCATGCAAATGTGCAACTCCCTGTTGTTGTTATATACTAATACTATTTTACATTAACCCAATGAGTCGCATTGCGGCCTGATGCGCCCTACTTTATTGTTTCACTCTGTCTAACGCCAGACGATTTTACTTGTCAAGGGGAGAGCACTGGCCCTTAATGGGTTAAACATTAACAAAATTAAATAGTATAAAAAATACAATTCAACCTCAATGCTCAATGAAGTGGTCATAAAGTAGACTTCAGGGAAGAGAGGGGGCTCCAATGTCTATTTATTCAAAAATCACTGATTACAGTATAGGTAGACTGAAAAGATCAAGAAGTGTTAACGAACACTGATACAAAAACTTACATTGACCTGTTGGTGTCGACATGTGTTGAACATTGTATTTATGTGTGATTAATATGCGTATAAAGCAAAATATTAAGCATGATTCGTAAAGGAGGGCTGCCTAACGGAGGTTCGACTATAGGAGTCTCATATTGGCCGCAGTCTGGAAAGTTTGTAGTTTGCGGCATAATACTATTTTACATATTAAAACAAAAATTAGCTGCACCCTTTGCAAACTTTCCAGTCAGGAATATAATTACTATAGATTGTGAGACTTGTGTAAACAAAACAGATTTTACAGAATGTTAAATATTGAATTCCCATTTAGTCAGTGTCCTAATATCCTACACATGTAGTCTGTACTATTAACATTAGAGGAAACCTGTCCAATATACCCAAATTATATATTTTTGTAATATGTTGTTGGTAGGTGAGGTATTTAATTTTAGAATAATTTTTGTCTGAGACACACAGTTTCTGAAACTCACATTTCCTGTTACAAGATTTTTATTAGAGAGTCTTTGTATAAATAGATGAATTAACTCAATATTTACAAATACTATGTATACATTCATGCATACAATGTAAAATTTGTAAACAAAACTAACTTCTAGTTAATATCTATGCAAAGTAAACTATAAATTATGCATACATATGTCGATGAATATCAGACATCGTAGAAAGTGCAAGAAAACACATCGTATATTGTAAAAAATGACTTCAAATACCTCAGCAAAGTGGCATTTTCATTTCGCCTATAGTTTTTCACTCCTACGACGATCGAAAAAGAGAAAAATTCGTAAAATATTGCAAACTAAGTGTGATAAACTCACTTTTCCAATACGCGTACTGACGTTGAAAGTTTTAAACACAAATTTAACCACACAATTCCTCTTTCGGGCAAATAAAAAGAGTTTATTTTCATGTTTGTTGTCTCAAAATAAAATTGTTGCCACCATTTTGAAATTTAATGTCGGGGGGGTGACTGCCTCTAGTCACTTGCTAAGCTATGCGCAGTACGGCATGCGCAGTGACGAAGCCCTTACGCTTTTTTGACTGAAGTCGGACATCTGGTCCTCTTAATCTGTGCCTCAGTGTACCTCAAGACCAAGCCAGTTAAAAGTGAGTTTTTCATGTTTATTGGATTTAAAAAGATAACTCCTCCACATGATTGTGCATTTTTATAACTATCCCATGCTTTTTCATCCGAAGTAATCATTGTTTTATCTTCAAACTCCGAGTTTATCCGCCGTATAGCGATTTAAACGGTCTCAAGAGACCGTATAAGTTTACACGGTGGATAGGCAAAATTTAACCGGTGGATAGCCCTAAACGGGCTTGATACAACGCGATTTCTCGAGCGTTTAAATTTTATCCGGCGGATAGCGAGTTAAACGGTGGTTAGCGAGTTAAACGCCTTTGATACAACCGGCCCCTGATGTGTAAGTTTACCTCCTCATGTGTAAGTTTACCTCCTCATGTGTAAGTTTACCTCCTCATGTGTAAGTTTACCTCCTCATGTGTAAGTTTACCTCCTCATGTGTAAGTTTACCTCCTCATGTGTAAGTTTACCTCCTCATGTGTAAGTTTACCTCCTCATGTATAAGTTTACCTCCTCATGTGTAAGTTTACCTCCTCATGTATAAGTTTACCTCCTCATGTATAAGTTTACCTCCTCATGTGTAAGTTTACCTCCTCATGTGTAAGTTTACCTCCTCATGTGTAAGTTTACCTCCTCATGTGTAAGTTTGCCTCCTCATGTATAAGTTTACCTCCTCATGTATATAAGTTTACCTCCTCATGTGTACGGGCAACAAGTTTTCCTTGCCAAGTTTTGTTGCTCTTATATACAGAATGTTAAATCGATCTATCGCACGTCAAGGCCGCTTTTATTTGCCAAAACCATAGAAATATTTCTTGTACGATTGTCAAGTTTTGCTTGGCGGCCGTGTACACACGAACAAATTTCCCTTGTCCAAAAGCTGCAACCCCATACGAAAACTGTTGTAACACTGCCAGTATGTTACCTGTAATTAAGTCCTAGCCCCTTTCCCCCTCTTAATGTTGATAAAAACGGTGTAGTGAAAAGCTCAGGCGAGACTTTTTTTATTCATTGGTTTACGGATCCGCCGACCGTAAATTTTCAGAAAGTGAAAAATAAAAAAAGTAACTTTGGATGTCAACAATTTTACAATTTTAGGTAATTTTAGTTAATTTTGGGTTCTGACAAGAAGAACAGGCCAAGTAAACTTTGACTCTAAGTACTGCTGGCTCATGTTATCGTTGTGACAATCAATATGGAGATTAGCCATGTTTTTTCGCGTTTTTGAAGTTAACGTTAAGAAATTTAATAGAGATTATTAAATTTGGTTCTCATTTATACTCCTGGTTTTTTAAGTCAAATCGGTAAACCAATAAATAAAAAGCGTCTCGCCTCACGAGTTATAAACATTGAGTAGGAGGAGCAGGGGAAAACCCTGGGTGTCACAACATTATTGTTGGAGATTGTATCATGACATGAACAAGGTGCCTTGGCAAGGAAAAATCGTCCATCATTTGCTGTACTCACGAGCAAATAAATATTGTCAAGGAAAACTTGCTCATCTGGGGCCATGCGTTAACCCCAGGTTAACCTAAAATTCAAAGCAAATTTTCCCAGCAGCTTGTTTATAAATTTGGAAATATTTCTTCAGAGATAGTGTCTGAATCAGAAAAAGTTTTCTTCTCTGAAGTTTTCAAATAAACAGACGTGCAAAAATACATAAACTAAAACAGCAGATTAAATTTTAACCCAGCGCTTTAAATTTTAATCCAGCTTTGAACAACCGGCCTCAGGATACGGATTTAACAATTTATCATGTATAGAAGGCACCCAAGTAAGCTTATACGACTCAGTCACAATTGAGCTGCGTCAATCTCGAGTCAGTTCCTGGCTAAGGGAGGGCGGGCGGGGGGTTATTAGCACTCTTCACCCTACGTTCATTATTTTCACATTTGATCAACACAGACGAAAAAGAGATAAGGATCGTATACGATATTAGGAAGTTTACGCTATCAATAAAATAAAATTAATCCTATAGCACAAAAGAAATGAATAATTAAAAGTCTAAGAGGAGTTTTAGACGTCATCCAAACTCTGATGACAACGGCAAAATATATATTTTCACGTCTCGTATATAGTACGCTAGCATTCCAGGGTACTTTTTCCAGCAAAATTGGTCAAAATTGCTATGAAGGTCAAAGCTCTGTTTTACTCGTTTGAAACTGTATTGAATCCACACTAAAGTAAATACAAGACAAGATTTCCATACAATCAATCAATCATAGTTTGCTTAGCCGTCGCTCTGACGTCGCCGTCTATAATTAATGTGCGTAAATTCCTTATTAAGCCTACCTTCACAGGCGGTGTCCCCGCCAGACCATGTTTTATCCACTCGACATATCTTCTCACCAGATCCGACAAGACGATATCCACGTGAGCAGGAATACGTACATTTTGTACCAACACGAAGATCGGTAGTGTTGCATGAACCATATTCTGAGGCAGCATTTGGAACTCGGAATTGGGTACACAGAATTCCTAAACAAAACAGAAGTGAGAATTTGTAAATGATCGAGCCACACCATGGCAGAGGCGTAGCCACGGGGAGGAATGGGGGGAACAGACTTTTTGTTCAGGTCCAACTTTGTAATTCATTCAAAACTAAGAAGAAACTGGGGGAGGAGGGAGGGGGCGTAACCTAATGTTTTAGCCTATGACATAAAGTACAGTATACCAAATCTGTGGCTATTAGATAACCATAAAACGTGTGTAAAATACATGAAATAGCGTTTCGCAGACCCATGCGCCCGGCCGCATGATTAGATCCCCCCACTCACTTGGTGTTGGCCACGCCCCTGCATTATGGTACCATCCTAACGCCATGCGGAATCAAATTCATACTGGCGCAAATTTTATGGGATGTATACATGTAGGTCTGGAGCAGTTTTCTTATTCTGGCTATATGAATGGCTTGTATGTTAAGCCCATGTTCCGCGAAGCAATTTTTGTTGCACCTTTCCACGCAATTTCTGACATAGGGCGATCTTATCTAAAAAGTAGTCGCACAGAAATGCCCGTATTCTAAAAGCTCACTCACACTCAATGAGTGGAAGTTCAATCTGAGCTTCTCTTCAGTGTCAATGCTGTTTTTGAATAGCTGGAGGGTGAGTAGTCACATAGTAAGGTACGACACTAACCCTCCAGATAGTCTTAAACAGCAATGACACTCGAGAGAAGCTCAGATTGAACTTCCATTGAATGTGAGTGTTAGTGTTAGTGAGCTTTTAGAATACGGGCGTAAGCCTTGGGCCATGTGAATCACAAGGTCGATTCCTGCCAAAGGGCCTATAGTTGCATTTTTTCCACCAGCTCCTCCTGGTTAGGTCTAAATCAATGCATAAAGTTTACACTCGAAATTTCCATCTAGAAAACCCTTCAATATTTTTTTCTTACTTTTACAATCAGGTGCTGTATCAGTGGGGGACCAATATGCGGCACCTTTGTTGTCGTCTCGAACTGTACAAGTTCGGACCTAAAATGAAATACGATCGCGTTTAAAAAGGAATTTGTAAAGGAAAACCGGTCAAAATGTAATAGTTGCATGCACAGAACTGCGATAACTATACAGTTAACTAAGTTACACAACACCGGACAACTTTTCATACCGATTACCAGATTCATTTACACATCAAAGGCAAATATCAAGTACACTACTAGTGCCGCTTCGCTCTGTTGCCAGTTCATCTCTTTCACTGTTGCCATGGTAATAAGCAATAATAATTTTTAAAACAAGGAGTAACGGACTTTTCTTTTTAAGAAGCATTTTTCTTCATGTGTCGCGTATTTGCGATGAAAAGTGTTCAAAACCTAAAATCTTTTTGGCGTTCCTCTAAACTACTTTGTTTTAGATTTATTTTGTAGTTTACACAGTTAGCAACCTTTTAAATGTATCTCTAGCGGTTGAGAAACACAAAATAACAGTTAAATATTGTCAATTTAAGTACTAGTTGAAACATGAGCAGCCGATATTTATTTGAAATACAAACTCATTGATGCTGTAAAATTGACGCCATATATTTATACAGCGATATAAGCAAAATTTACTGAACTTCAGATATCACTATAATTATTTTCTCTTTGGCGTACCATCTAAACTCTGCATTTTGGCATAATTTTACAGATAATAAAGCACTAAACATACTTTTTAAGTTCGTTTACCGCTTGAGAAACGTATCAAAACTCTTCCATCCTATTTTTTTATATATTTTTTCAAATTAAAGCTTTTGTTATCATATTTGAGTCAAGTATATGATAGATTAATATGCTTAGCTGACACAGGATCAGTAACTTTTACACTCGTCGTTGGCATAGTAACTACGATAGCTACAACTCCTGATAGGATCGAATAATTATAGGGTTTGCTCCAAAAAGGATGAGAGCCAAACTAAATTACTGAGGATCTTTTAGAAACAGCTTTAGTGGACACCTAATGCATTAATCTATGTCTTGAACATAAAAAATACACAGGTAATAGAATAACGCCTTCGTGTAATTCGTATAAGGGTTCTCTTGCAATATGTAACGCTGATATATGAATTTCTTTATGTTCAGAACATGGCTTTGTTACTAATAAATAAACTCGGAATTGATTCAGTATCAACAATAGAAGATTTTTTAGTATTTCGCCAAACGTTCATTTGGGAAAAGCGATTTTAAAGTTTTTTGCCTATAGTACAAAAGAACAATTGAAAAGTGGAACAATAGAATAAACCAACCGGCAACCGCATACTTTGTCGCTCCGGGTAAAATAATGGTTTTATCCTAAGAAAGTGTAGAATTTGCTGGTTTCTCATTTTTAGGTAAATTTATGCGCTTAAAATACACGGATTTTTATAAAGAACGCTATAAAAACTGCATTTTTTTGTTTTTCTAAAAATGACAAATATTGGAAACTTTGGGTGGAAGACCACCTTAATGTATATACAAATCTGTCCACAAACTTGACTTAGTTCTTAAGATATTGCCCTTTTGAAAGCGAAAAGTCAATATTATTATTGTTTTCTTTATTTGTCTCCGCCTGGAAAAGTAAAATGGATGTAAAAACAAACAGCAGCCTATAAAGTATTGTAAAAGCAAACAAAATACAGGCGACAATGTTAAAACATATAAGCGCCAAAACCGGAGCGTTAGAGTGTCCCTTGTTTACACTGCTTCGGCATTATACCGGATTACCTCTCACGGAGTAATTTTTGCTCCGCGGCACGCCGTACTCTGGGTTACACTGGAAAAAAATAGTGAAATTCATACTGTGGAATTTGCGATCGCATCACAAAAATCAATATATAGTGTATCCATACTATTTCCATACTATATTCATACTATATCCATTTCCATACTAATTTCAACTAAGATCCATATACTATTTCCATAGTAAGGATTTAGCCCAATCCGGAATAAAAATCGCTTCGCTCCGATACAATCCGGTAATGGTGTAACTGCAATTCATGGCGTTAATAATTCGTAGTGAAATTCTTAGCAAACCATACTACTCTGAACGGATCTTATGTATAATGACGTCTCCTTGCGGTGTCTGAATACCAATATCAAATTTGTTTGTGAGGATTTGCTATATTTTTCTATTACGATTATCGCGAAGCATTATGGTAAATAGTATAGTCACGCACCTCAAGAAAATATTGTTGGAATCTGTTCCAGTCAAATTAACAATATTCGAAGTACAAATTATTTAAAAGTTGAAATAATGTCCCGTCTGTCGTGGTATGTGGGTATAGGAAATTGTTTATCTTGACATTCGCCAGCTGAAGTGGTATGATTGCATTTGCGCGAAAATGTGGAATGTTAGATCAGGGGTTAGATGCATGGGCATGAGCTTATACCTTAGGTCCAATCAACTCGAATCCATAATCACAATTGAATGTACACACGCTTCGATAATCGCTTCCACAGCTTGTTGGATTTGTGTAGCCATCTGATGGTATCGGCAAGCTCCGACAAGGTTTGACTATAATGAAAAAGTAGAAAGAAGACGTTTTCTTCGATATCACGAAGGTGCGGATATAGCCAGAGGTTTGCCACAGGAAGCGACATGACATTGAAAAGCAGTAAAAATAACGTCAGTCTTATATCCACTTACTTGTACATGCTTTACCACTAGCTGGAGATCCTTCATATCCTTTATTACATTTACAATCCTGAATCGTTTTACTTCCTAGTTTGTTATGACCTGAGTTTCCAGGACAATTTGTGCATGATTTCTCAGCCAGACCAGGATATTTCTTGTATGTACCATGTGTGCATGCTGAAAGAAAGAACAAATGCCGGGTAAAATACAAGATATATCATACTTGTACATACATGATCAATGGCGTAGAATTCGTAATGTAGAACGGTCAACAAATCTTTTCCTAAGGGGGGGAGGGGGGTTAATTAATTTGTTCAATGTGTCTATCATAACAAATATGGCTGCCACTCGAAGAAGATAAACGACACGGAAAGAGAATTTCGCGTTATGTTTTTACATTCTGAATAGATATCTTACGCCCACTTTAACAAACTTAAATAACCACATCTTCCCTCACACAAACATCAATAATTCTATGGCTTTATGGTTACCTAAAACCCTACATGTTCCGAGTGGTACCCTTCGTGAAAATATCAGCGTTGTTGCCTCAAACAGTCGACAATTTAGGGTCTTTGACGTGCGTTCGCTGCTATAGGAATAAAACAGCCGCGCTTTTGCAACCTGAAAAACCGCAGGAGCCAATAATTTTTTGATAATTTTAGGAAAGCCTCATATTTCTATTTCAGACACAGTACAATTTTCAGGTGGTACTTTCTTTAAAACCGACAAGCCTTTTCGCCACAAGTATTCCAGTGAAATTCTACAGCGTTTGCATTCTCTTATAATTGTTACATCTCCTAATATGACCGCGAATTCTACGCCAGGAGTTCTATATATTTCGACATCGAAATGACGCGTTCTGTCGCGAAAGTCGAGATAAAATTAGAATTGAAAGAATATATTGTTAAATTATACAATTTACTATGTATATGTATTACATACTTATAAGTAATACATTTCCATATTTTATAACCTCTATATATGTGTTTTATCAAGCGATATAATTTTTTTACTGTATACTTATAATTATAATACTTATATATTTTTTTAATACTTATTTTTAATACTTATTTTTTATACTTATAATACTTTTTTTACTGTGTACTGTATACTATTTTTATTGTATACTTATAAGTAATACATTTCCATATTTTATAACCTCTATATATGTTTATCAGGCGATATCATTTTTTTTTACTGTATACATATACGAAATTTTTTTCAGTGTTCTGAGTAATAGAAACATATACCTGGAACTTTGACAGAACAGAGAAATTAATCAGTTGGAATGTACTATACCGAAGGCCTGTGTTTCCACGCAAACTTTCACAAAACATTTGGATTTGCAACAAACATGTTACACAAACCTCCACAAAATATTTTGGAAAAAAATTATATTGTCTTTATCATGTAATTAATTTTCGTTATAATGTCGCATTTATGGAAATTGTTTGCAGAAAGCTAAAAGGAAAAACTTCTAGATTTTTACTGGCTATGTTATGTTCTTCGATTAAAACAATTTGATTATTGTTGTGATTAAAATTGGAGACGAGTCCACATTTTCTCAAACAGGTGTTTCAACACTGCAAATTAAAAATTTATATAGAATTATAAATTGTAAATTAAAATAATGAGTACTTTTTGGGACGGTTTGACCACAATCACCATAGTCAGTACCAAACTCTATAAGTATAAATGCCTGCTCACAGTGTACCAGATCTATAAGTATAAATGCCTGCTCAAATGCAAAAGTTTTAGGTTCAAGCTTGTTTTCTGGTAAACTGATATTAATACCGTACGTTCTTTATTTGGCGGGAGAAAACTGAAATTAACCAAAAATAATTTACTAATCTGACTTGTATTTACCTCCAAATTGCAGATGGTCTTGGACTTGGTTCGAACTATCGCCGTCAGGCAATTGGGTTCGAATATTTTTCGTTCGTGAAAAGATGAAATAAGATTTGTATTCATAAAACAAGTAAATCTGATTCCGTCTAACGTTTAGATAGAAAGGTTGAGCATGTTTGGCGTCTTTATAGATGGAAATTAACTCATATTAACATAATTTGCATCTGAGGATAATTTATGAAAGTATATTGATGTTGAATTGAAGACTGATGGGTTGGGACACAAAACGCGGTCTGTATCATATGCTATATGATTATATTTCCACAGACTCGATTAGCCCACTCACCAGTGCATTTTCCTTTCTCCCCAGTACCATAAAAACCAGCATGGCAAATGCAAATGTACTTTCCGCTAAGCAGACCGCAGCCACATGATGCATTATCATCGCAGGTAGAGGTACACTTGCTCTTCGGTACATGTTCGGCATCATAGTCCGGTTGGTAAGGATCTACATAGATCAGTAAAATAGCAATGATTTGAGCTGTTAGAAGAAACTGTTCCGATGTAATTTAGGTATCGAATTACTATAGATTAACTAGGTATTCAATCATTTCAATGACTGATCATTCAATCAGTCTAATTTTCAGAATTAGCTATTAAACATAAAATGTCTGTGAAAATTTCTGCAAAAATGTAGATCCAAAAAAAATTCTGGGAACTGTACTAGGTTCCCAATCTTTCCAGCATTTTCCCACTTCTGTTTGAGGTCATTCATACCCCGGTGCATGGGGTGAATTATGTTTGTGTTCATATGAGCTTTTTCAGATAATATTGATATTTATTTTTTGTCTGTACTTTCCAACTATACTGCAGTTCAATACTGTTATCGGTAAAAATCAGAAAAAAAATCCATCCCGGGGTTAGGTGGGATAAAGTCTTCATATGAAAAATGTTATCCCACTTTGCTGGGCTGGCTCATTTCTCAAATGAATACAATTTGAATTACATATGCGGATCTCCTTCATCCGAGTTAGCTGCGCCCATTATGACATGTACGAACGCTCTAACATATTATGATAAAAATTCCGTTTTACAAAGATTTTTAATAGGTTCATTTCCACATGCACCTGATCCAAAAAATATCCCATATAATACAAAACGTACTTAATTTTAGACAGCATGCATAGACAATTAATTCAAGTAATTTACTTCTTAGGTTAGCGAAATTATAACCCACGGTAGCAAATTTCAAGGCGCTGCAGGTGAACAATGAATAATATTTCTAGCTATTTTGCAGAAAAAATGCGAGGGCGCGTTTTCCCCTTTCAGATCTGTTACGTTTTACTAAAGCTTGTCGCACATGCGAGAAACTTGCTGAGTTAACAGCCTCGCGTGGCGTCAGTCTCAGCATGCATGATTCTCTCGTGTGCGGCAGAACGCTAACTCTGACGTCCATGTCCTACGACAGTTAGATCCAAGCAAGGCGCGATAGTTGTGGGGATATAACTATAATAAGCAGTCACATTTCATTCACTTCTCTTTAGGGAATTAATCTAGTGCATACTAATTAGTGCCCCAATACTGTGCCAGGGAGATACTATAACTCCAAATATTAAGACAACCAAAATAATAGCAAAATTTTAACTCCATGCAAAAGAGTAATATGGGACGGCTTAAACACCAGCCCAAAGGTAATAGTGCATAAGTGTACACGTATTAGAAATTAAAGCTGTGTTCAAGGATGAAACTCTAGAAAAAATACGGAGTTCACCATTTTCCAGCCTTAGGAATACTGCAGGGGTCTGGGGTCATCCCAAGAAAAATTTAGAACTGCCCATTTCAACAGAGTTGTGAGGCATGCGCTCATGACGTATGGTATGCCTGAATAGTTATGGGGGTCAGGCAGCATATGTAGTACTCCCCGGAAATTTTTGAATTTTACAAGTGCAGAATGGTCATTTCCTGCGTTTTCAGAGTCAAATGCTTAATGTATGAATGCTTAATTTATATCTATATGATTCTTATATAAAGCCCCAAACTCAATTTTAGGACTGCCTATTTTGGAAAATGGGAGGCCTTAGGATGATCCCTGGAATATTGTTTATCGCCAAGTCACACTCACCTCCACGAATATGCGTGGCTAACTCTCTAAATGAGTTGAAATCACTATAGTAGAAATAGTGACCGGCTGTCGTGGCGGCACTTCTCATAAATGATTGGTCTACACCACCAACTCCGACTGCAAAAAGTTCGACGTTATTTGTCTTGATGTTGTTGATCTTACTCATCGGATTTCCACCATTATTGTATTCCCCATCTGTGAGTAAGAACACTACTTTATTCACATACACTCCTTTGGGGTCTATAACTTTCCAAGGACGCACATTGGTGCTTTGTGCACCGAACAGAATCTCCTCCACCTTCTGAAAACCCGCATTCATGTTCGTCATCACACCAGTGTACTTGATACGACTGAACGCCTCATTGAATTCACATTTATTGTTCAGGCCGTTCAAATTCGATATATAGTTGATGTCTATCGTCGCATGAGTTCCGAAACGTATAATAGAAACCCGGGTTGCAGGTTTGGCAATTTTGATCTTCGTCAAAAGAGAAGTAATAAATACCTTCTCATCACGGAAGCCTGTTCGTCCATTGTATATTAAACTTCCAGAATTGTCCATAAGAAAAAATATATCAGCTTTGCTGTTTGCATAATCGGATTGAAACTCCGTCAAGCGTTGTTCACCCGTGTACCAAGTGTAGGCCTGTCCACAAGGAGCAGAATAGAGAAAAACGACGCAAAACGAGACAAATTTTAACGCATACATATTCGTTTGCGATGCCGTGCCCATTCGAATATAACTGAAGTTGCAATTATAGCTTAAATTTAAGAACAAAAACGGTAGATTTCAATTATGGACCCGAACAGCTGGGTTCACATTCAAAACATCCAATTATGCTATGGTAAATAGTACAACACTATATAGACCATAGTATGGACTAGAATTTTGATATAAGATAAACAGTAAGTCATGAATATAAATTGGTTGAATGGTCGTCGAATTAATAGGTTTGTTCACATTTGTTTACGCATAATAATTGCAAGTTTCGATTTTTGATTAGCTAAAGTTCAAAATTTTTCCGGAGAATATTTTGAAACACCAAGAAATTTGCGTTGTATGGGCAAAAAGAATAGTGTATCGCCTAGGTTAGAAAGTATATATTTCAAAATTTCAGGTTAAATTTTTTTCATGAAAAATCCACGAAGCCATATGACGTCATAGAATATCAATTAATGCAATTATAATGGCTTTACTGATCCGTGCAAATTTTCATATTTCAAACACAAGTACAGAGTAGGATTTATATTCAATGGTCCAAATGGTTTATTTCAATGATAAGCCATTAGATTTTTTATTTTTATTTCTAAACTGCAATGTAAACGGAAATTGTCAGATTTCAGATTCTCACCTGAGGTTTAATTTTGAATTTAAGGAAAAATTGCAAGAAAATGCGGAAATGGTCAGTCGATGTTCTGAATATAGGTTATTTGGCGGAAGGATGGATTTATATTGTATTATCATTATAATATATAAAGGAATATACCAGACGTTAAGTGTAATTAGCCTTTCTCACGCCGAAATTTTTGGGTGGCTTTTCAGCCGAAGTCTGCGAGATAAGTCCACATAACAGCGACTTTTTATAATTTTTTTGACGATTGATGTCAAATTTGCTTTGCAAATGGTTAGTTTATTTTGAAAAATTGCTTTTCACATTGGTTTAATTGTCTGCATTGGTTAACGAGAATTAGACGCCACCCAAAAATGGCGGATATTCGTCATTGTGAGAAAGGTTGATTTGATTGCCTATATAAACGCAATCATACAGTATACTGTCTTGACTCTTGGTTAGACATTGCGTTGTTAAGGCCGTTTTCCACTTCAATCATCATCCACTTCAGTGTCGAAGTCATTAGTTCCACTCTAGTGCTCAGGAAACAAAGAACTACGCTACGCTTCGGTACGGTACGATTGAAGTGGAAAACGGCCCTAAGACGGCAACGAGACGACGAAATAAACTCTTTCGAATACATAAAGCTTGTACTGATATGCATGTGCCTGCGAAGGTCGTGACAAAAATACCAGAAAATTGAGATGGATATAGGGATTCAACTACCTGAAAAATACAAGTAAAACTTCGACGTTAGCGAAGACCCTACGTTGGGAAGTTGGCTACATCTAACTTCACAACGTATAGGCCTTTGCTCAAAACGTCGAAGTTTTACTTGTATTTTTCAGGTAGTTTAATCTCAATCCATCTCAATTTTCCAAAGAAAACTTGTCTACTTTATATCCCATGAACTTCATATAATTTCACCAACAGCATGTTCTGTAATAGCAAATGTAATATGGCTATTTTTTGTGTAAATATATCGATTGTAAATATTTATCTTCAAAAGTGATTGTGTTCGATTAAGGTAATTTGAAACCAGTCTACAAAACCAGAAAATGAGCATGTCTAGTAATAAAATAGCCTAGTTGCTTAGCAGGCGTTCAGTAATAAAAATGCGAAAGTTCCGCTTTGTTGTGTGGTTGAATATTAATTATGTCTCAACATGGCATGAAACCAAATATAACAAAGCCGCGGATTGATAGGGATACAACCAGGGTTGGATTGAAAGGGATACAACCGGAAGGGGCAAGGTGGGCACTTTGCCCCAGGCCCCCAGATGAAAAGGAGCTTCCTCAAGCAACGAAGGCCCTTAATTAAAATGTTGTGATACAAGATTGCCTAACTGAAAAAAAGAACCCCCACCCCTGTCACCAACAATTCCGGAAAATTTGTTGATCTTAAAAAAAAATATGCAGGGGGGGGGCTGGGAAAGTTTCGTCCGGGGCCGCGCGCAGGCTGTCGGTGGCCCTGGATACAACTACCTGAAAAATACAAGGAGAACTTCGATGGTTCGAGCGAAGAACTTTCGTTGTGAAGTTAAGCCCTGGGCAAACAAGGAAACATTGTTGCGGAAACATTGTTGCGGAAACATTGTTTCCTGCCAATGTTTCGCCGTGTTTCCAAGAGAGGGCAAACACTTGGAAACATTAGTGAGAAACATAGGGAAACATCAAATGTTTCTGAATTTGCTAGGAAACATTTTTGCTTCTCGGGAAGCAAATTTTGTTTCCGCAACAATGTTTCCACGGGTGGGCAAACAGGGAAACATTTGAGGAAACATCAAGAATCACAAATGTTTCCACAACAATGTTTCCTAGTTTGCCCAGGGCAGTTAGTAGAGTAGTTGGCTATTAATTTCCCGACGAAGGGCCTTTGCTCGAAACGTGGAAGTTCTCCTTGTATTTTTCAGGTAGTTGTATCCCTATCAATCCGAAGCTTTCTTATTGTTGGCACTACGTACACTGGCGCGGACCCAGTGGCGTAGCCAGTCCGACAATTTGGTCATGCTATGCAAATTTCAAAATATTATCATTATTCATTTCTTTAGATCGAAATTGATTGTTTTCACAGTTTATGAACACGGAAACATTTGCATAGTATGACCAAATTGTCGGGCTGGCTACGCCACTGCGAGGACCTTTCATCAAATCGAATGTATTTTAAAACATGTATCTTAAATTTATGTTTCTAAAATAAACAATTTGAAACCTCTTACGTCTGGTACTCTCTGCCAATTATAATATTTAATTTATTGCTGTTGAACTATTGAGTATTGTCATTGCTGCTTCAATTTATTCCGTAGTTTCCCTTCGCTCTGCTTGTAAAAAGAATCTTAACATAGCGTTGGAGTCAAATCACTTAATAAATATTTTTTGAGTAAACATACTCAACTTTTGAGTCATTGTCATTTTTGCTCCAGAAAACGAGTGATCATACTCAGATCGATTATTTCTATGTAAGCTGATGCGATATTGAAAAAATCGATATATCGATATCGAAACTAGAAAAATATCCATATTATCGAATTATGCAAATTAGAAAACGTAATTTACTCAACTTGTATGTGCAGTATACCCCACCACAAACAGCAAAAAACAAAGTTGTATGAAACTAGTGAAACATTAAAAGACTTATTTACAACAGTTTATGAATGTTTAAAGATTTATTTACAAGCTTAATGGTTTCGCAGTTCGTACGACTGTTTATAAATTTTCTGCGAGAAACACCAACATGTTCACCTTGTTTGGCTTAAGGCTTAAATTAAACTGTACTCGCTTTGCCGTTATAATCTGTCCCGCTTTGTTAAAAAGTCTCTCAGTTGGAGCATTGCTTGCTGGAATCGTCAGATATCGTCGGACATACAGTACTGGTAGGGGTGCACCGGAACTCGGTTCCGGCCGGTTAGTTCCGGCCGGAACCCCGATATTTCAGAGTTCCGGTTCCGGTCGGAACTCATAAAAAAGCATGGCCAGAACCGGAACTCTGTCGTTTTCAGAGAGATAGAATATCAAACGTTTTTGTGTCTAACAAACGTTCACAGTTACGCAAGGGAAATGTACACTTTTAATACTTCATTATGACGTTTAACGTTTGTCAGTCTTTTTATTCTAACATTTGCGAGCTCTCTCCTTGATGATGATTTGAAGTGTCTGCTTGTCTGGCAGCAGACAAAGTAACATATGACTATATATGGCTTAATAAATCGGTTCCGGGCGGAACTTTTTTCCAGTTCCGGCCGGATCCGGTTCCGACCGGAACTTAATAAATTGGTTCCGGTGCACCCCTACATACTGGGACAGAAGAGGAAAACTAAGCGCTCAACTGCTGCTTGCGTGGGTGGTGATCTTCTGTGATACACTTACTCTGTTTACACTTTTAAATTACCCACGCGCTTGCTACTTGAAATCGCGATTGCCGTCATACAGGTGGTTTCTAAACTTTATGCCCCGCGCTCAAATTTGCCCCCTCCCCCAGGGCAAATATCCTAGGACCTAGGATATTTGGCCCTCTCTTCGGAAATTTGGCTCCCATTTTAGGATTGAACAGATATAAATATAATTCATGAAAGTCAATTTCTTATAAACATATCTTTGACAAATGTGGTATAACCAGCATTTTAAAACCTTGTAAACACAAACATTCGACAACTTAGGCGATTAGCTCAGCGCTGAAATTCCTGACGCGTGGGCATATCACTCATGGTTACCAAAAATGTGCATAATAGCAAGTGGTTATGATTTAGTTTTCACATCGTTACAACTTTTACCTCAAATTCCTGAGGAGAATGAGCAACGGCTTTCCGAGTCGTGTGCACCATCTTGTGACTGACACAACTGACTGAGGAGTAAGAAGTGATATATATTAAAGTACTGAGAATATACTTTGGTTTATTATTAGAATGCATTTTAACTGTTAGCAAAGTTACAGACTGTAGTAACCTTATTCAATTTCAGGGGGGCCAAATTTCCGAAGAGGGAGCCAATTTGGCCCGGGAGGACCAAATTTCGGGGGGAGGGGGATGATTTCCTGTGACACCGGACAATGGTTGCTGAAGAAAAGGAGATTAAGTTGTGTAATTAAAACCTTCGATGTTTTCAATATAATGCGAAAAATCGAATATCGATATTTTTGAAATATCGATATTTTGTTGAAAATATCGTTATATCGCATCAGCCAATTTCTGTGTGAGCCGCTCAGCCGACTTCAGAATTGCGATTAATACTCTATGTCTAACTAGAATTATTAAGTTTCCGGACAGACTAAATTAAGTGAGTGCACCGGGGTAATGGGAAGTCCGTAGGGGCTCACATTTCCCTCAGTAAAAACTTCAGGTAAGCCTCTGCGGACGAGAGGGGTTATTTTTGTTAATTAAACAAATCCTCCGGTTATTATTTGTACTAGCATCTACACTGTAAAACAAATCGGTTAAAACAACCCGTATTTGTCTCAGAACCAACCAATTTATGGGTTAATTAAACGAATTAGTTTCACAGTGACGCTCGCAAGAGACTGGGCAAGTTCGTCTTGGACATTGCCACATTGGGACTTGTACAGTTAGCTGAACTCAAATTCTTCCGAATTCATACGTGCATGTGAACATGTGCAAATTCGTGCAAATTGCTGTGGCTTTCTTGTTTGCAGCCAGGTAGCAAGGCCATCATTCCCTCTAACCGCATTTACAACAGGGAAGGGAAAATGGCCTGATACTCAAGTCAAATAATCGGCAAAACTAAACTTGATGGCAAGTGAATTTTATTCCAGGCAAACAATTTCCATGTCTAACTTGCCCTAGTTGCAAGTGGTTACACCACTGGAGTCTGGGAATGCTGGTGAAATCAAAAGATAGTCAACAAAGATCTAAAGAGTAAAGGAAGGGAAATTAATGTTAAAGCCTTAAAGGAATCAAAGATGTAGATAAGATCACAGGGAACTATACTATAGGTTGAGCTACTGTAACAAAGGCATGGTTATGCCATCATGAAGGCCAATGAAAAGCCAGGAAGGCTAAGGAAATCTAGGGAATGTTATAGAGGGCTAAACAAGGATTAGAAAGGCTAGGAAGTGCTAGAAAGGCTAAAAACTGTAAAGTAAGGTTAGCAAAGGTTATGTAAAGGTAGGGAAGGCTATGGAAAGAAAGCTAAAGAGCTAAGCCAAGAGAAAGTTATGGTTAGGGTTTTAATCCATTGAGTGGCAACACTCTCCCCAAGATGAGCAAAATCATCTGCTGTTAGACAAAGTAAAATAACAAAGCAGGCGGCATATATAAGCATATTAACAAGGCCTAAAAAGGCTAGGGAAGACCGGGGGTAGAATAAGAGGGCAAAAAATGACTAATGAAGCCTAGACAGGGTTCGAATTAAATATTTAAAAGTGAATAGCGAATTTCTACCCTACTTTCTACCCATTGACTCATGCAATAAAAAGTGAATAGGGAATTTCTACTATGTACAGTAAAAAAGGATTCACCATTCGATCTTCAACCAGAAAGGCTGTTATAATAATAAAGATTCAGCAGTCATTATTTTTTTGGTAGTTGTAAGATTATAAACGACTAGAAAAGTGAGAAAACAACGATGTAAAATTAAATAATTCCAATTTCCAATTATCAACCGTAAAAATCGCAGAATATCTAAAGAGTTCAGTAAAAGGCATTTATTCAAAGTTAAAGCAAATTAAAGTACAAACAAAATAAAGTAAACATGGCAAACTCAAAACTTTAAGCAAAACATAAAACTGGCGTACATTGCATACTACACATTATGAATTAAACTAGAAAGTTATTCAACACTAACAACAGTTTGATTTGCCATTTACGTTTTAAATCCAAGTGATTGTGAAATTCAAATCTGATTATAGTTGCCTGAAAAAGTAACAAGACATTTGACCTTTCCTAAGTGGATTTTGTCTTTTTTGACACATTTTTAATGTCATTTTTATAATGTCATTTTTATAATATCTATCATATTAAAACATCAAATCAGAACACAGCTTGAGCCCATATGAGTGAATGTTTCGCCTCAAAATACACAAAGAATTGTTTGAAAACAAACGTTTCCAATGTTATCCGTTTTACGTTTTCACATATGAAATCTTCTCAGGTTGAATAGTTTTTTTTTATATTACTGCATAGCAAAATGAGTAGTGAAATCCCCAAAACAGCTAGCGAATCGCGATTCGCTATCTATTAATTCGAACCCTGAGCCTAGAGAATATCAAGGTTGAGGAGAGGCTAATGAGTTGTAGAGAAGGGTACACACTACATGACATGATAACTTGTATATGCATTCTGATTGGTAAAAAATTTATCCTTATCGTCTGACTGAAAAAAATCACTCGGGTGAGCAATTTTAAAATTGTTATTGTTATCGTCAAACGATAATTTTATCATTTTGGTTGTAGGGGGTCCAGACAGCAAAATAAATTTTTTGCCAATCATCGTGTGTTTACAAGTTCTCGCATCGTTATTGTTGTGTAGTGTGACCGGGCCTTAAGAAAGGGTAATGGGATCTAGGCAAGGGTAGCAAAGGCTGAATAACAATGAGGGACATGTAAAAATGACAGTGTTCTGTTAAGTAATTTAGTAAGAAAGACAACATACTTTAAAAGAGTTGCTGCTCCATTCATGATGGAAAACCAGTAGTTCCCGGACGTTCTCACATTAATTTGATAATCAAACTTTCTTTTTAATATGCATTTCCTGTCCAAAATTTCCTCCAGCAAGTATTTCTCAGTACATAGTCTGCTTCAAATTTAATTTACAGTACCCAATTTACACTCACTCACTCCTGTTATCTGCACAGATTAGATTGCATTACTCTTAAATAGGTAAACAAATGCAGTACAGTGAGACAATCAATTCGTTTATTGGAAAAATTAACCTGTGATGTACAGTACGTAGCTGTTCTGGCCAATATCATGGTATGATGTCAAATGCACTACCACACAGGGAACAAATATGTCCAATTCCATTGGTGCTGTTTTCTGTTTGAATACTTCATTGTAGAAATCAAATTGGTTTGAGACATTATGGTCTGTTGCGGTGTTGCCTAAGTAGGAACTTGCAATGCACTTTAGCTATTCTGGACAATGTCATGGGTACTATGACGTTCGAGTTGCCTGGGGCTGTCAAATGCACTACCACACAGAGAACAAATATATCCAATGTCCGTTGGTGCTGATTTCTGTTCCTCATTGCAGAAATCATGGTGAGGTCTGATCTCCTAAATCCCGACTAATTTCTCTTTTGCAAGTATTACACAATGGCTGCATGTATCGTTTCTTGCAGATATCACATTCATAAAGCTTTGAGCATTATCTTTTGTACCTGCAGGTCCTGCAGAGCTGTTGGAATGTAAAATTCTTGTGCTGGAAACATCACTATCAAAATTTGTGTCTTCAATATGGGTTCTTTTATGTATTTCCAAGTCACTTGATTTTGTGAATCTCATCTTACAAACATCACATTCAAAAGGCTCGTTTGTGGTATCTATTTTTCTGTAGAATACAACAATCTTTTTAACATACACCACTTTCACCTGGTTTTGCCCAACATGTGTCAGTTTATGGTTTGCTAAGCCGGTTGAAGTTGAAAATCTCTTCTGGCACACATCACATTCATAAGGTTTCTCCCCAGTGTGTATTCGTTTATGAACGCCAAGACAGTCCGAACGTGAAAATTTCTTATTACAAATGTCACATTCATATGGTTTCTCGCCACTATGTGTTCTTTTGTGGATTTTTAAGTTGCTATTTTGGACAAACCTCTTGCTACATACATCGCATTCGTAAGGTTTATCCCCAGTGTGAGTTCTTTTATGAATTACTAAGTAGCTTGGATCTCTAAATCTCTTATTACAAACATCACATTGGTATGGTTTAGCTCCAGTGTGTATTGTTTTATGCCTAACTAACTTGTATGAATGTTGAAATACCTTCTGACATACGTCGCATTTATATACTTTTATAGCTGGATCCAGTGGATCGTGTCCTGCTTGTTTTTATGCCTTACTAAAGCACTTTTACATGAAAATGTCTTTCTACAAGTCTTACATTCCATTCTGTATGGGAAACCAACACGATCAACGTCTATCGCACCAGGGATGATATCTTGAGTGTGAAAATCACAGGTAAAATAGGTGAATACAGCTCGAGATACAGCTCTGTTTTTTGAAATTTGAACATGGCCGTGCATAGAATATGTGGGTATATTGATGGATCTTGTGGGATACGAATATACGATAGAGATGTTCAGTTTTGACCAGTGCCACTGAGCTATACTATATTACTGGAGGACATGTTCGGCATGAAAAAGTGCCGCCAAAAACATGGAGGATTTTCGCCCCATATGACGCCATTTCCATGACAACTGGTTCCTCCGGCTCACGAGATTACCACTGACCAATTTTCAATTACCAATTACCAATTTTCACACCCCTCTGGTTTTATCAAAAATATTTTTGCTTTTCAAGTTTTTGCAGTAAATTCTCGTTGTTTCAGTTTTATATTTTTACGACTTTTGACCTTTGTTTCAAAGATTTAAAAGTCGTGCATGCTATTCTCCCCCGCGAAAGACAACAAACCAATATGAAACCCCGAGAAAGTTAGCCAAAGGCGATATTTGATACCAGGGCAGAGCTATTATGTATCAGTCAATTCCAGCGGTGCCCATTCCCCCCCCCCGGGCCCCAGTCCCCCGGGGAATTAGCCATTTCTGGAAAGAAAATGGCTATGTCCCCACCCCAGGGAAAGAAGAACTGTGCTAAAGCCCCACTCCTGGGCAAACAAATTGGGTCTATATCCCCACACCCGGGCAATAATATTGTGACTGTTTAGTAATAGTAGGCATAGAATTATAACGTGCAAATCAACGTGTATGGACAACATAAATGCGAAGTACAAAAAAGAAGTTCTACGACAAGGATAAAGACACTTTTATATTAATGCAACACTGTATAAATTCTATCTTCAGCGCATCTAGCTAGACCTTTGTATGATAATATTAATGTCAACTTTTGAAAATATTGTCTTTACTTAATAATTTAAAGGTCCAGACACACCGGACGCAATTTTTCGATTTTCACTGGCCGATAACTTTGATCCTAATTTAAACTTTCTAAATATTTAGAAACGTGACATTTTTGAGTTATTTGGTCTACATATCTTTTAACATTTGCTTTATTATTAAATTTGTTTTATTAACTTTCAAAAACAAAAAAATCGCGTCGTGTTGTCGAATCGCGTCCGGTGTGTGCACTTTATAGCGATCATTGTCCGTTGAAGGAGAAAAACTATTTCATGTAGACAAAGGATTCACTCATCAATGATCAAAGACAATGGTACTGAAAGACCATCCCAAAGAATGAGTACTATCAAGCCATTTGCAATTGCAAACGAATTCGGTGTCTTTTCCAGCGAAATCTGCCATGTTATAGTCAGCTAATCGCCATGATGGAAAACGTCTAAGTCCCAACCCCCGGGCTCAAAAATTTCGGCAATATCCCCACCCCCGGGATTAGGAAAGCTGCGAAGGCCCGGGGGTGGCCCGGGGGGGAAGCGCACTGCTGGAATTGTGTTGGGTTTTGTACCGTTGCCATCGCTCTTTCTCGAATACGAAGCACAACATACAACTTTGGAGTTTTACAAAAGAATGTATTTAATAATAAAAATCACACATATATATACAAGATTATATCTATAATAAGTATTTTGACATATCACATTCTATTACCATAAATGGTATACAGTTTGGTACATGGAGCAACTATTTGTACTGGAATTTGTGGTATCCAGAGATTACATTTTACATACATATCTATAGTAATCAATGTCATTCATTAACTAATAATCTTATTATCATTGTCAACAGAATATCAGGAGCATATTCTAACACCCCCACTTGCTCTTATGTTCTGAGCATCTATATAAATTACATCACAATAATTTTTATTTTTTTTTTTTTTAATTTCTGATATATTTGTATTACGCAGCGCATTTATAAACCTAACATGAAATGCTTAAATTTTTCTAACTTACCTTTGCTAGCTGGCTTTGTGAAGACGTCAGCTATATTGTCCTCAGTAGGAACATATTTCAAACTTATGGTACCTACCTGTATCTCGGATCTTATAAAATGATACTTAATATCAATATGTTTCGACCTTTGATGATGTACGGGATTTCTAGCTAAGTTTATAGCTCCCTGATTATCTACTTGAATAAGTACATTATCATCACTTATACTTACCTTCATGTCGATACATAATTGTCTCAAAAATTTTGCCTCCTGTACGGCATTTGCAAGCGCAATATATTCTGCCTCGCATGTAGAGAGCGCAACTGTTGGTTGTTTACGGCTCTTCCAGGATATTAAAGGACCTGTTGAAGACAACTGAAAATTATAGCCAGTTATACTCCGCCTGTCGGCAACTGATGCGCCCCAGTCGGAGTCACAAAATCCGTTCAACCTTAGCGGAACGTTTGACTTCCTAAATGTCAAACCTTGCTCAGATGTACCCCTCAAATACCTTAAAACGTGTTTAGCCAAGTCGAGATTGGCTCTTGTGGGCTTAGATATTTTCTGTGAGAGCTTCGTCACTATATAGCACAAATCAGGCCTGGTGCCTGTCATAACATATATTAAGCTCCCAACAATAACCCTATACTCACCTGGGTCTTCTAAGCTTGGTGATTCTTCATCTGAGACCTTCTCGATACCTAAAACACATGGAGTAGGCTTGGGCTTGCAATCAGCCATCCCAAACTTTAACAATACTTTTTCAATATATTGTTTCTGATTCATTTCGATGCAAGATTCCTTGCATTTAAACTCTGTACCTAAAAACCACGATAGCTTACCTAGGTCTTTCATTTTGAACCTTTCACCTAAAGATTCTTTTACAGTCGTTAGTAATTCAAAATGACTGGCTGCGATAATGATATCGTCAACTAATGATATCGTCAACCCATACAATTACTATAACACATCGCTTCGAGTCAATCATTCTCACATACACACATGGATCAGCCTGTGACTGAGTAAAACCCTCCTTTTGCAGATACTCGTGTAATAAATTATTCCAGTTTCTCCCACTTTGCTTTAAACCATATAATGACTTATTTAATTTACATACTAATTTTTCACCATTC